TAACAGGACACTGCTGTTAAATGACACTGCTGAAGACGTGTCACCTGAAAAAGCCACTGTCGAAGAAGAAACTCTACCCGGTTTTGAGAAGGGAAACAGTGAAGCTCTTAATGAAGTTACTACCACTGATGTGAAGGTGGTGCATGCCAACAGGCTTTGGCGTTATCGTGTCCAGGACATTTCCGTTGGAACGAAGTGAACAATGAAACAAATGACACTGCTGAAGACGTGTCACCTGAAAAAGCCACTGTCGAAGAAGAAACTCTACCCGGTTTTGAGAAGGGAAACAGTGAAGCCCTTGATGAAGTTACTACCACTGATGTGACTGTTACCGATAATAAGACAATTCCCGATGGAGCAGATGAACCCCACGTGAAGAAGAAGCCAACGAGATGGAAGAAGATACGTCCTGTAAAATTAAGAGACTCTGTTGAATTTTAATTTTGTGTTTGTAAATTCTGTACATTTAATTAAATTATTGTTAATTTTCTATTGGTTTAATGTAAGTGGCTATTGTTCGTCCCGAACACTACTAAGGAAGGGGCAGTGTTACGACAGCGGAAGTCACGTGACGCTGGTAACACGTAATACGTTCTAGAAAGATCGGGGAACATCATGAATAATCCAGTATTTGCTAGGCGCCCTCTATTCTTGTATATAAGTGTGCCAGGCAATTAATCGGAAGGTTACAACGGACAGAGAGATTGAAGATATAGACGGACAATTGGGTCAAGCGTATATCTATATTTTTACGACAGCGAAAGCCACGTGACGCTAGTAACACGTCATGATATTCTAGAAGGATCCTGTCTGTTCGTGGCAACTCTGGTCTTTTCTACGCACCCTCTATTCTTGTATATAAGTGCACCAGATAAAGCGAAATGAATTAATCAGAATAAAATTGCAGACAGACAGAGACGGACAATTGAGTCAAGCGCGGTAGTGACCATAAGTAAAGTGCTTGAATCGTTCGTTGAGAATTATAATGTGGGTTTAAGTGACTGTGGAAATTAAGTATATTGCAAAGTTGTATTGAGAAAGAATAAACTAGTTTTATTTAAGAAAGGACTTGAAACTCTGAAGTTTCTCGGGAAGAATTTCTCCCGGAAATTATCAAACGAGCAGAAACGTAACAATAACAATGTGGAGTTTTGAGGAACCTTATAACTATAATATTCGTAAACATAAAGTGACAACAACAACAACAAGAAGAAACAGTTATGTTGAGGTCAAAATAATGATTTTGAATACTTTTTTTTTCTAATTGTCCAAATAAATTTAATCATTTCAAGCAATACTCTTGGATAGAAATTGATACTATACTCTTGAATGGAGTTGAAGTCAGATGTTACTTCGATTTTTCTTCTTCTTCTTAATGATACTTCTCTGTTTAGTGTTTTTCACCGGTATCTAAAATTTCTGATTTTTGCAAATACATAAAACCTACAGTTGTTGATAAAATAATTAAGGAAATAAACTCTTTTTGTATATAAAACACAAAACTTTTTCGTTTACTTTGAAAACTTTTTTATATAATTTTGCAATAATTATTTCAACATTTACAAAACATATACAAAGTTTTGTCATATTGATTTTTTCCATTGCAGTTTAACTTATGCTATTAAAGTTGTACTGAAACATTCTGCGACCAAAAAGAATCTTATTAGAAAAATTGGAATACAAAATTTTTGTTTGTTGAAACGAAAATGCGTCTATTTACTCAAACTAAATGAAAGCCAATTTATCGCGCATGCAATGTGTTCAGTCTCATGTCTGTTTAAATAAAAATGTTTGTTTGTAATTAAACACAAAGCTACACAATAGGCTATCTGTGCTCTGCCCACCACGGGTATCGGAACCCGGATTCTAGCGTTGTAAGTCCGCAGACATGCCGCTGTGCCACCACTGGAGGGCAAATGAAAATGTAATGTGAATACTTAGATATTTAATTTATGGACATGAAAATAAAATAACAGACAAAAAACAAAAGTAGAGGTAGAAAAACACATTCCCAAACGCTATATTCACATTTCAAAACACTTATTAAGTAATTTGAACTGAAATTTTAGTTTATTCTTCTTTATACTATTACCGAGGCTGTGATTATAGCCAGCAAAGAACAAGTAATAAATTGCAGATAAACAGCGCTGATTTATATGGAGTTTAGTAATAAACATCCGCAGGCCGTTGAAAGTAATGGGTCAAATTTTGATAAATAGTTAAGAAGGAAGCCACCAGGGGTAGGGCGAATGTTGTTCTTAGAGAAGTCTGTCACTGTTCAGAAATGAAATATGTTATGCCGAAGGAAATGTGTATTGGTGAATATGTTAAAAGGTTAATATCATTTATATTAAAACTAATAATATAAAAGTTACATAGAACATTAAAACTAAGCTAGCAATGAGATATGCTTGAAAATAAAGTTATAGTTATTAAGAAAAATATCTTAATAGGAATGAAAATACTAACTACCGATGTATTGTATCCTTGATTCATAATTTCATTTAACTTATGAAAAACCTGAAGTACAACTTAACCTTGTATCAGTACATGTAAGTTACATTGTTTAATGATATGGAAAATTCTGAACGTGCCACCATTTACTGATGTTAACGTTATTAATGTGTAATGTTATTAATGTGTACATTTTTGAAGATTAAGGATAAGGTTTGGTCTACATAATATATAGTTTAAATTGAAAATTAACAGTAGGTTATTACACATTTACAGTTAAACTACAGTATAGATTACGTAAAATGTAAATAAATGATTGATTTTTATGTATGTTATTACTATAACTAGTAAGTCTTAAGTTTTATATCGTATTCTTACAGTATAATAATTTATATGAATTAATTTTTCAAAATTGTTTCAAATACAAGTCAAAACATTTAAGAACAGTAAATTACTAGCACTATATATAGCAGTAGGGCATGTACTTTAATAAAATTTTACCTTTCATTGTCAGTGAAACTTGAAATGTCATATAAAACTGAAAATCACAAAGTAATATAGTGAAGTCTATTAATAGCATTATTATTCATATTCTTTGTCAAAATTGCTTTGCTGTTAGAACCACTAACTTGCAAATTAACTTTCTTGAGAATGTATGTGTGTGTGTGTTGATAATAAGGATAAGTTTAATTTTTGTTGGGTTTTTAAGCTTATGGATGTGAAGACTTGCATTTAGATAAGTTCAGGAATGAAATTCTCAAAAAAAAGTATTGGTACTCAGTTGGGTGAAGTAGACCTGTTTTAGAAAAAGAAAAAAATCTACATGTAAACATAAAAGATGACAATTTGACTGTCAACGAAGAAGTGCTTTCTCATGGAACAATAGAATCCACGTGCATCCGAAAAAACAGCTCAAATAAGTCCTGGTACTAGCACTGCCTTAAAAAATAAGTTTCGGCACTCAGTAGTGGTGAATACCAGCAGAATTTCACCCCTGGATAAGTTACTATTCTGTCTTCTGTATCAGGAGATAAAAGGTTGCCATGTTGTTTTGTGATAACACATTATAATTAATTGCATTAGAAGTATTACACACACACACATATATATATATATATAGTAATTAATAAGATTTGAAAAGTTAATTTTGAATTCTTAAATCAAGTTACCTAGGCTTATATATATAAACATTTGGCTACATGAGACAGTTATTGTTATGAACTATTAATTTTCTTGTATGTAAAACCACTGAAAATTGCAATATTAAAAAAAATCTTAATATAACTGATGTACGTGTGTTATCATATAGTCCAAGATTGTTCCACTAGTTGTACAGGATAAAAAAACTCCCAGTTTGTTTGAGCATCTAAAGTAACTGTTCATGAGTATCAATTTTTTGTAGTAAATTTGTAGCACTTATGAAGTGAAATTTTGTTACAAAAATGAAGAGAAAATCTAATTGCAATTGAAGAATATAACATATTTCTGACTTTACAAACAGACCTCTAATAACTGACTGGATATATAAATCTCATTCAAGTAGCTTACAAGTATAACCATTTATAGTTATGGTATTTTTTATTCAGTTAAAGTTAAGAACATATTTTAATTTTTTAGTAAAATATTTATTGTCTTTTTTTAATAAACTGTATCGAAGGCTGTGATTTGCTTATTCAGAGTAAAAAGGTGTTTAATAATGGCTTCATATGAGTATTAAAATCCTAGTTTTGTTTACAAAAAACTTTGTCAAATGTATGGATAACAAATCATAATATTAATTTCACTTTTAATTCCTTATATCTCATTTACTAATTTGGTATTTATTACAAAGATATTTAATTGGATACATTTGAACTTCCTTTGCACATTGAGTGTGATATTTCTTGTACCCTATGGAGTAACTTGTTAAAAAATTTGGTTTACCCAGTAGCTGTACAACTTTGGAGAAGAGTTGTTGGTCAATGTCTTCCAAATTTATCTCTCTTAATAACTCCCCATCTTCTAGTTTTCCTATATATAGATCCTTATTCCTTGAAATACTTCATGTATTGATGTAGTTGCAGTTAATTTTGAGTGTCATCACTTATAATTATCCATTCCTTCATCCATATTCAAGATTTTTTGTGGTTATTCTTAATTTATTGTATCAGTTTATGATTTACAGCTCAGCCCATCATTTCTTTCCTTTGTAATCATCAATAACAATATTAATTGTTTTTTCTTCTTTATAACTCTGTACGAGTATTCAGAGTTTTGTTGTTTCTATGACTATCTGCTCAATATATGTAGTACATCCCCATAAAAAGTATACTCACTTGTAGTTATGTTTATCAACAAAAGTGGAACATTATTGAAATTGTTCAAGGAATTTCTGTTTACCAACTGTATCTTCCACTTAGTTTGGTATTTTTTCTTCTAATTTTGTTCATCAAAAGTGTGTTGTTTTATCCTCAAGGAAAGTTTATTAACTTTCTTTCCACACAAATCTCTTATTTTCTAAGATCTTTTCATTTCTTTGTTACTTCAGTATATGTTCATGTATTCATGGGTTTTTTCTGACTGGGACATTACTTTAGGACTTGGGGCTCTGATTTTATATTGCATTTTCCTTTTGGCTTCTTATTCAATTTTCATTTATTTAATAAAACATATTTCCTATTACTTAGGCCTGGTGGTTAAAGTGCTTGACTTGCAATCTGCATGTCGCGGGTTGGAATCCCTGTCACATTGAACATGCTCGCCTATTCAGCCATGGGGGCATTATAACGTTGTGGTCAATCCAACTATTCATTGGTAAAAGAGTAGCCCAAGAATTGGTGGTGAGTGGTGTTAACTAGCTGCCTTCCTTTTAGTCTATCACTGCTAAATAAGGGATGGCTAGTGCAGATAGCCCTCGTGTAGCTTTACGCAAAATTCCAAAAAAGTTAAAACAAATTCTACTACTTTTTTGCCTCACTCTACATCAAGTGATCTTTTATTCTATGAATTATTTTTGCAAAAATAATTTTTTGTTGTTATTTGTTCATTTTTCATGGTGTATTATTTTTTGTTCAAGCTTGGACTAATAAATCTGTATCATTACTGTGTTCCCTGAAATTGTTCTTTTTATTTCTCAGAAACAGCACAAATCCTTTTGAAAGAAGTGGATAGATCACTCAAGCCAATGAAGCAGTGATCTGTTGCTATTAGTAAAGCTATTAGAAATTTAGAATGTATTTATAGACATACTGATCACAAGTTAGTATAGTTAATTATTGATCTCTATACAAATCACTAGTTATTTCTCACTTGAAATGCAATGAACATTCATGATCTTTTTTTTTTCTAGGAGAAGATATTGAGTTATTGAAAAGGATTCAGGGGAGGGCTACTAGGATGATTTCAGGTAAAGCTGGGTTGGGCAATTAACTTGGTTAATTAATATAATTAATTATCTGTGAGCATTGATTACGTCGACCATTGCCACATACAATAATTGATTAATTGAAATTACAGTTAAGTTGGTTAATGCCCCAAAAATAATCAGCTAGTTGAAATTATTGTTTCCATTTATTTGCATTTTTGATTATCAAGTATCTTAGTAATTGAAATATTGCCATTATGATTTATCAGTATCATTTTGGATTAATTCAAGGCTGTTTGGCTTAATCAATGACTCACAAAACTAATCATCTAATCAAAATTAGTGTTTCCAATTGTTACTATTTTCGATTATTTCAACTATCCAAGTGAGAATAATTGATAAGTTGAATTAATGAACCTGATGATTAACTAATTATCAACTTCCACTAATCACTGTTCTGATTCTGGGGATTGAAGAGTTATCTTCTAGGTATAGGTTAAGTTCTCTTAATTTTTTTTTCTTTTTAAGGGTAAGAGGTGATGTTATTGAAGGTTAAAAATTATCAAGGGGATTGATAACATAAAGACCTTTAATTTCTTTGTGCTGTATTCTGAGCACAATATATATGTACAAATAAATAAGTTTAAGAATTGGAAAAGACAAGCAAGGCTCTAGTTAAGACAGTTTTATTTTTCTAACAGAGTGATCAGCCTATGTCATGAAATGCCATTAGTAGAAGGGATGCAGGTATTTTTATGGGATTTTAAGAGAGGAATCAAGGATTTTCTGAAGAATTAATGGTTGATTTAAATTTTTACTTTTCTCAAGGATGGATGCATAGGGACAACCATGAAGGTCCAACAGGTCTATGTTTTGTTAAGATGTCTTGCACTGAATCTTTAGTTGATACTCCCTACTGGTCTGTCTTCTCTTGTACAGGAGCATGCGGTGACTGTACAGGTTTATGATGCACCAGAAAATTAGCTGCACCCATGACGATGAAATTATATGGCGTTCAAAGACCACTTGTTCTCTAGAAGCTAATGGATTTTAAGGTGCTTTGAGGCTCTCCTTGACTTAAGATATGTTCAAATGAAGACAATATTTATGCCATTGTTTAAGAAAATTCTCAAGGCCTGAACAGGAGAGTCTTAAATAAAAATCAAAAAAACTATTACTCTTCCTAAAAATGATGAAAAACTTGCACTCATTTCAGTTATTCCCCTTGTAAATATGAAGTACTTATTAATGTTAGTATATGTTTCAAAATTCAAATGAATCATTTGGAATGAAAACTTTTAAAACGTTTTACATGATAAAACCTAAGTTTTCTGACATCAGATTATATATATCATAAAAACTAATTTCTCCCTTCCTATTGGCTTACACTGCCTCCATACTGAGTCACTGCCTTAAGAAAAAAGATGTTTAGGAATGATAAGAAGGTTCTTCCCCATTGGCCAAAATTGCAGATAGACTTCACTGCCTTACTAATCACAATTCCAAAAAAAAAAACATGCATGACTAAATAAATATAGAGGGCTTTCATAATTGCAGTGGGCCAACTGGAGAAGTGAAAATATTCATAAAATTACACAATATTGTGTGTAGCAATTAGATAGTAAAAAAAAAAACACTGTAAATGGAACAAACTGTTAAGACTTCCGACAGTTTGTTCCATTTACTGTGGTTTTTTATGCTCTAACTGGAAATATACTAACACAGCATTCAAGCAATGGAAAAGTTTTGGGAACAGGCATAAACATTTTTTAATAGTGCAGAGCATACAGATTTTGTTAGTTAGCATAATACTTTGCACTAGTGTGCTCTTTTGATGCTACACACCTTATTCTTGTAACCTTAACAACAGAAACAATCTGTTTTCTACAAAGCAAACTAAATAATACCGAATCTTTATATGATGTTCAACACAGATTTATCTTTTCTTGTAACCTTAACAGAAAAGACAAACTTTTATCAATGCCCTAACAAGATGGCTTTAGTTTCTGCTTATGGGATTTACAGTAGTTAGTTAATGTGAATGCTTTGTCAGTTTATCTTGTATATGACTTAAGTAGTTGTTTGGCAGTTGAAGTTTTATGCTTACCCTTATATCTTTCTGTTAGCATCATTCATTCTTATTCTTGGTATTAACTGTTTTCTGGTATTGTGTTATAGTCTTCCTGGATGATTTAAGCTCAGAGAAAGATATCTTAGTTTGCTTTACCTTCAGGTCCCATACTATATATATATTGCAAATTGGATTAGTCTCTTTGATATCTCCAGTGATTAATTAACCTGATAGGTTCTCTATGCACTGAATACCATGCCTTTATTGGAAGTTTGTTTTCATGGAAAATTGGTCTTCTGCTCTGTGTGATTGAAGTTTTCTTCTGAGTTGCAAAAACCATTACTTGAGGTTATCTTATATTGTCATGTCTGAACACTTACTGTCATTAATTATTTCTTTTTTTCAAGTGTATACTGAGGATACATTACTTGAGGTTACTTTATATTGTCATTTCTGAACACTTACTGTCATTAATTATTTCTTTTTTTCAAGTGTATACTGAGGATATTCTGGTGCTTACTTAGCATAAGTTGTTTGAATTTATTGTGAAACTGGTGTGGGACTTGACAAAATGAACCACGAATATTGATCTTGCCCCCATCTGGATTAAGGATGTACATAGTATCTAATGATTTCCATGGAAATTCCATGTGTCACAGGGTACTAAATAGTTTGGTGGATTTTATAAGTTGTTTCTGCTGATCAGTATTGAATTTGATTAGCAATTAGCAAATATTGCTTAGCATTTTTTAAACATTCATCATTTTAACACATTATGGCAACTACATCCAGCACTAAAAGTTTTAACTAATTGTAACAACATCCACTAATGAAAAAAAGAGGTAAATGGTGTGTTTTTATTCTAATAACACTTATATTCAGCTTCGAATGCTAATACTTAATTGTACCATACATGAGATTTCATGAACAAAATAGTTATTGGTATATAAAGTAAAACTTCAAAACTGCAAGAAATACCAAACACTTCAGCTGTCACAAAATAATGCAACAATCATTAATTAACCAGAGAAAGAAATGACTTGAAGATTAGCAACTGAACAAGGTTGCCACAAATCATTTTTCAAACTCATCTAGTTTTTTGTTTGTTTGTTTTGCAAGACCTCATCATTCTCTTCACATCATGGTCTCCTTGGTTTTTTGAAGAAGAAAATGTCTAGTGACTTTAGCAGTAATTACCCTTCTCACCACAGGCATCCTTTACTGTGTGTGTCGTGAGGTTTTGTAGTGAGTTCCATTAAAAATTTAATTAAAGTACTTTTTGTTTATTCATGTTTTACCAATTAGTATAGCATAAAATCATAGCTAATAATCTATATTTTAATACTATATAAGTTTTAAGTTCATAAGGCAATATTAAAAAAAAGATTCTGAATTTCCCCTAGTGTGAGAAATGTGACACTTGTTCTCTAGGCATCACCTCTTCTCTAATTTATTTACTACCCCTTCAAGAAGTACGAATTTTAACATAAATTACTGATTATAATGTTGTCATTGCTCAGGTAAAGCATAATTTTCATAGCCTTTAATTTTGTTTGGTTACAGAACCATCAAATAGAAAATCAGACCCCCTCTTGCCACACCCACCTGTCACATCTTCTCTTTCAGGATTTGTCAATGGTTCTCTCTTACATTTAATACTATATTATTGTTAACCTATAGAAAGCCAAGGTTTTCATCTATCAAATAATCTATTATATTATGTTGTTTTCTATACAGAAAAATAGTAATTTCTCTTTCAATACAAGCTTCGTTTCCATGGAAAACATATCGACTAACTTGGATGAATTTGTAAAGGCTTTTGTCGCATACTTAGAAAGGCAGAAAAATTGTGATAGTTATGGGACATTGTCTGATTTTGGCATGTGATTATTCTATGTTTTTTGATACATTATTTAATTAAATAAAAATTATTTAGTGTACTACTACCACCAGTGTAAAAAAGTCAGGTTAAGTGTCATCAACAGCAAAAAAAAGAAGACCCAGATAATTATTGTATTTCTTGTTTTTCATGTGTATTCTTTATCTATTATTATAAAAATAACTAAAATGTAAAAATAGGAAACTTTTAAATTTGTTTAGGTCAGATTAGATAAAGTAAATAATGATATAGTAAAAAATTTTCACGAGGAATGCACGTGAATAGCTCAGAGTAGTTCATTCGTAATGTAATTCAGTAGCGTGACGTGAGCTGCACTTTCCCCAGGTGATTTGCAACTTATAATGGCATGAATAGTACTACTAGTTAGATATGGTTCAAAGGGCAATAAAACAATAAAATTTAAGTATAAATAGATGTATACTGTTACAAGTTTAAAACTATTTATGATAAAGAAATGTAGTTTCATGTTACAATTTGAAGTCATTCTAGAAAGAAAAAGTATAATTTAGATTTATTTAAATTTTTTTGTGTGTGTAGATACGAGGACTGTCAAATTGAACAACCCTGTGTAGAGTTAGCATGGAGAAAATATAAAGTTTTACTGAAAAACAAATTTTTTTAATGTATTTTAGTATTTTTAATCTTAACATGAAAATCATTTTGCAATGGACTAGTAAAAAAAGGCTCAGTATATTCATGGACAAATCTTTTTTAAAAATACTTCATTAAGAAACAGATTTCTGTGTATAAACGGCTTGAAATTTTTAACAAAAGTCTACCAGATTTTGTGAAGATACACATACTGTATTAAAAGTTATAGTATTAAAGCTATATACAAGTAAAAATGGTGATGTGGTTAGTTCTTGGGACAGAGCCAGTATTGAGAGAGTTCGTAACCGGCTCAATTCTAAATATGCAGTGCATGTACTGTATGTATGTAGTATAGTCTAGTTGGCTAGACTGCAAGTGCTGAGTTTGTGCATTCCAAACATCATGAACAGACTACTACAAAGTGTGTATGCAATATGCACATGATAAAGTGTGAAAATACTTTATGTGCCATTTTACAGGATTATCAGGTATATCAAACTGAAATGTTATGGCACTTTCACTGTGTTGTTGGAGGTCTCAAAGACAACATAATAAAAAAAAAAGAATGACATGCATGTTATTCTAAGCAAAGAAGAAAGTGATTCACAACTGGGGTTGTTTTGATTCACAAATTGTGATATGAACTCGGATATTTTTTCCTCTGTGTCAAATAATCAATTTGTTCTTTTGATGTTAAGTATCTAAGTACTTTTGTACATTGTGTACCACTGAAGTAAACAAGGAATACAGATAGCTGTAAGAAGGTAGGTGCATGTATTGGTTAATTATCTTCAAAGTATTATACAGATTTTCACCACATTTTATACTTTCAACAATGCTTCTGTGATGTAAACATGTGTAATGTATTTCTAATAATACTTTACTACAACATGTGTTTGGGTCAGAGGATGCTAATCACTCCATTTTGATGAAGTTAAGAACTTAAAAATCAAGCAAATAGACATAAGGTTATTTGACTTGTCTAGCTCATAACTTTTACTGTTGAAATATCAAACAATCATGTAATTTTCAATTTAAATAGCTATGTTTTTATTGGAGAGAAGTAGTAGTTTGTATGTTAAATACCAGGGAAAAAGAATCACCACATCTTTAAATGGAAAAAAATCTTAATTACTGACAACACATCAAGGCTATCCTCACCCTCCCACCCTTCATCGTTCAGGAAATTGTTGATTCCCCTTTAAAGTAATGGTCTTTACTACTTCTGACAACAACTCTTTCAATAAACCAATCACCCTTTTAGAAAAATAAAACTGTCTTGACTGGAGCCTAGTCTTCCAAATCTTATCCTCTCACCCTATTATCTTTATAATACATCACAAAGAAATCATAGACCTTTATCCTATTGATTCCCCAGATAATCTTGTAAACATCATCACTTTCCTTTTTTTTTTTTCTTAATGGAAAGCAATTTTATTATGTAAAAAAAAAGATATAAAAAAGTTAGTAGTAGATTCACATATGTATCATTTGGTATTACTGTATACATAATGATCTGAACATAAGTTATCACAGTTAGCACCATTTCGTACTTCAACTTTTCACTTCATATCTCAGCTAACCTTACAAAGATGACTTGGCAAATATTCATACTATAACAGCTTTTTTTATACTTTAACCCTTTGATTGCAACTGCTTTAAATACACATAGAATTTTTACAAGCTGTACACTGTATACAGCAAGTCAGAGTCAATGGATTAAGATTTATTCATTAGCATTCCTTTGAACTTATGCCATATCTGTACCAGTCATCCTGTTTTATGTTATTCAAGATGGAGAAACTTAATTACATATTATATGATTAACTTTATCCTCTTTTGTAAATATAGTCGTGTCTAGAGATCTGATATGTATACAGTATGAAAGATGTTTGACCAATTTTCTCAGCATTCTGTGCTTCCTTCTTCCATTGATTTACTTTATATTAATGACAGATGATTTTCTTTGTCTCACTATTTTAATTCATTATTTGTATCAATGGTTGTTTTAGTTGTCTTTTTCTCACCACAGTAAACTTATATTTATATAGGACTTATAAAATATGTAGTATTGATGTTATTAATTTATTCTTCTAAATTATTTAGCCTGGCAAGCTATTTAAGATTCCAAAAATAAATATGAAGCCTAATCTATCATCCTATTTAAATGCCTTTTGTCACTTGAGTTATTTGTAAGTAACACTAAACTTATATATGCATATTTTATAAAGTTTTATTGTCAAATACCTTTTCATAAAATGAAATATGGTAAGATTAATGATTTTGTAATGCATTCCTGTTCTTCATATTTGTAATGCAATTCCATTGTCACTCTTATTCTTGAAATATGGAATAACTATTAGATTTTTATTTATGATCATGTACAATCAGATAAAACTGATTTGAGACATGAAAATTATCTGTTCACATTGATTAAATTCCATATCATGAGCTGCTGAGTACTGCAGTTTCAAGTTAACTTTGCTCTTGTTATTCAATAATAATAATAGAGAATTGATCATATTTGTAAAACTGTGCAGATGTTTAACTACACCATGTTTTTTAGCTTTACAGGTTCTGATAAAAAAAAACAAACAAACCTTGATTTGAAGTAGATTATGAGTGATGAAGAGTGGGAAAATGCTCTTTGTCAGCATTATAGAAAAGAAGCTTTGCAAGACAATCTTCATCTGCACTTCTGTCAAGACAAACAATTTGCTTTCACCATAGCCAGCTGGGAGTTTTATGACACAGCATAATTTACTATATGTATTGCCTGATTAATCCTTGGCAATGTTTTGTTCCATTCTGATCAGGACTTGAGAAATTTGGCATGATGGAGTTAGAGATTAAATCAAACTTATTTGCTTGACTTATAAGATGGACAAGAACTCCCAGGTAAGTAAATTGAAATTTGTGAAATAAATGGTATATTATTTTGTGGTCAAAGCCACTTGTAAACACCATAAAAATATGAAAGTTGTCATAAATTCTATATTATGTATATGTATACATATTTTCAAGATGTAACTTACCAACTGTTAAGGTCAGATTTTAATCAATCAACGTGAACTTCCCATAGTAATATTACATATTCATATGAAATAAGGAGGTAGATACTTCAATATTTAACTTCTTACTGAAAAGCCAGATCATAATATGAGAATGCTATATTATCACATGAAAAAGGATTTAGTTTGTTATTTGTACAATAGCCGAATGACCAATACAAGTATTGATGGAATTTCATATTTCAATGCATTTCATACAATGCACTATGATACAGTCATTTACTTTGCTATCTGAGATAAGATGTTTATGGGAATTACTGTAATAAAAAACCTCAAGCTACGTGTATTTAATGTGGATATTTATCATGTGAAGTTATACATATTTATGGAGAAGTAGCTAATTACATACGTTATCTTTAGTTGCAGCTGATGTAAATGTTTATCCTTAAAGTCACTGTTATTGTTGTGTTCCATATTATTTTGGATTTAATAGTTTGGTGTGATGTTGAAAATATTGGTTGCTGATGTAATGTTGTAGTTATTAATTTATCAATTTTTTACATTAATCAGTTATTTATTTTAAAGGATAATAAACTTTTTTTTCCTATGTTTAATGTAAGCATGGTCGCAAGGTGAATTTCTTTTATAATTGTTTTCAATTCAAAAAGGTTTCCTTTGTCTATATCTGTGTACTTGTTGTTAGAGTAAAAACACTACCAACTTTCCTGAAATTTTGTTAAACTATACAAGTCAAGTAAACAATACATGATTTAGAATATCAGTTCTTTATTAGTGGATTGTACCCTGCTGGGGAGAAGGGGCATCAAACTTTCCCAGGGAGGGGGGTGATCACTTGAATGTTGTTGTAATAATTTACAAAAATAAAAAAATATAAAAACATATTACAAATTAGCACTCTGTTATTATTATTGTATTTATAATAATAAAAAACAAATGATAACAATCCCAATAAAAGATAAGATGGCTTTCTATAACTCATTTGCATATGCAAAAACTTTTCGTACACAACAGAACTCTCAAGAAAAAATTCAAATTTCTGTTATTTCTGTTTACTCCTTTGACTTGAAAGAATTCAATATTTTCTATGCATTTCAGTAAGATATACTAAAGTAAAAATGCGGATACTGACTTTTTATCACTGATCTTTCTATTCCCCCTTTAAACTGTAGTCTATTTTTTGTTGTTGGAAGTTTATGTAGACAGTACAGAAACATTGGCTACTGAACAATGTGAGGAAGATTTTACTTTGTTAAGACCCATGCTGTTGTCATAGTAATAAGTGTAAAAAGTCAGTCTGAAGACATCACAGAAATCACATAATTTATGGCCTCTGATCAATTGGCTATTTTCAAAAAGAAAAGGTCATTTATTTTATGATATAAAGTATGCATAACTCAAGGGAACTGATCCCTTCCAGTTTGTTATGAGTTTTTCTCTGCATTTTGATAATTTCTTATGTTTGTGTGGCCAAGTTTCTGTAATCAATTCTTATCGATTTTAACAGACTGCTATCAGTGAAAGTATGATTTTGGGTAGTGAACAACTACATACACATCAGAGCAAGGTATCTGTATATTTTGACCAACGTTGCTCTCCTTCCTCAGATTATCCTGCCTATCACATGATGATGATCATGTTTGTCATTACAAGCATAAAAAAATAAAAAATCAGCTGTTTTAGTTTACTCCTACAATCCTTCATATCACACCTTGATTCATATAGTCTAACATCAAGTACTATAACATAAATATTAGCATATTGGATGTCTTGTGCCTATAAAAGCGAGCACACAGATGTATGGAAAGAATATTGTACAAAAAACTCGTTGCTACAGTGATAAAATAAACAATTTACTTTCTGCATAATAAGGAATTAATGTAAATATAGTAATTATATGATTACATTCCACTTAGTTTTATACATGCAGTCTCCAAAATATATAGTCATTGTAAACGTTTTGACTTAAATCCCAAGATCCTTACTTTCAAATAGCTTTAATGAGGCATGAATAGGAAATATAATCTCATTTCCATTGTGACATCAATTTAAAAACTTCTGGGCTTTTACATGCATATACAGAATATGCATGATTTATTGTGGTCTTTTGTACTTTAAATGTAAAAAAATTGTATTAGTTGTATTAAAAAACAGTTTTTGTCATTTTTATCTTGTGTTTCTCTTGCATTAGTACACACAGATCTGCACGATTTTATTAAGAGTTTACATGGGTAAAGACTCTTATTCTATTAGCTCTGAACTCATGGTACAGTGTCTATATGGTATCAGTAATCGTTGGCTTGTTGTTATGCACATACTTGTACATGTTTGTATACAGGGTTGAGTATGTTATATTAAAATGATTTTGAATATGAGAATCAAGCAAGTCATTAGAAAGCCACTGTCAATATAAATCCATGGTATGAACCATGTATCAGAACTACATTTTGATATTGTTTTGCATTTCATAGGTAGTTTCAGGACACTAAAAATTTATCGCTTTTATGAAAGGTATGTAACAACCCTTTCTGATGCCAAATGTTTATACACTCAAACCATAAAGATGCGGTTAGGCTGGGGATTTAGAATTTCTAAGATGGAGATATTTCTTTTACTTAATGACACTGTAAAACAAAGGAATATGGATGAACTTGAGGCACCAGGACCATCCAGAAAGAGATCTAACACAAGTCTTACCCTCGCTGGGTAAACAAAGTGATAATCCAAAAGCACAAAGATTAGTAGCAAAAGCCATCCACATGGTTTAGGCAAGGGTATGCAACATAATCAACGTAGATCTCTGTTTGGGAAAATGGCACATTTCATGTCTACTCAAGTTGCTTCCAGGAGATATCCATTCAACCAATGCATACATCAAGGCAAATGAAACTGGTATTCATTCTATTCCATACAGACATACATATATAGAAACAAGTCAAAGAACATTCAAAAAGATGGAAAATGGGGAAAAAAAATGGACTCAACTTTTGTGTCACACCTTGTGGAAACTAAGGAATTTCATCTGGAAAAAAAAATGCTAAATTTTACATGTTTGTAAAAAAGTAAAACTAAATAACCAGGAAATTTTAGAAATAAATAGAAATATGACAATGAATCCAGACAAAGTTCTAAGTGACCAAATCAACTTAAGCTCCTTCCAACTTACCTCAGGGTGAGTGTCAAAATTAATTCCAGTTCTTGGTTAAACATGTATACCTATTCACAAAATAGTTCAGCCTGTACCTAATGATGCCTTTACCAGAAAGTATTTAATGAAGATGGATATATTTTAAGAAACTTTTGATTGGAAATCTTTTCTCATGGTACTGTTTACAATAATTTATGGTCAATGTCACCTTTCAATTATCCTGGGGCTAATTACATGTTATTAGTTAATCTTGGGATCACTGAATTAAGTGGTGTGAGAGGTAATAATCATTATGTGTAACATTGAAATGTCAACTGTAACTTGATTTTACTTTCTGCTATGTGTATGTTTTTTGTTTTTTTCTTTCAAACCAGACAACCAGCACTAAAGTTTCACACATCCATGATACTGGTACTTAAAATATAGTGTTTCTTTTTCAATATTTGTTTTTATATCTTTTTTAATATCTTTTATGATTCACAATTATGATTTTATAAAGAAAGTTAAAGCACTGTATATATTATGGAAATTCATTTATAATGAAAACTAGAAGTAGGTTGGGAATATTTAAACTCATTTCTTTTTGTTATATTTGGAAAAATACAGTGATGTTGTTTTTGTTTTTTTTCGTCTTGTGTTCTCTAGATTCAAATTACCTGTAGTGTCACTCTGCACTTAATGATTGAAAATATCACTGTATTGAAGTTTTGTGAAATATATTGGAAATGGTAAAAAAAATTTGGAAAAAAACAATAATAATTACCTAGTTTAATAGCCAAAATTGAAAATTTCAAACATTTACAATCTAGTCATCCATTAATTCCATATAAGATAGGAGTTGTACAGGAAGGGAAAGTTTTTTTATGCCACTTGGCAGCGACCAATTATCTCGAAGTATTCTTCGAAGTATACAGCGGCATAAGTGTTGTAATTCAGGAGGATCAAAATATCGTCTTCTGAATTGGGGGAGGAATCTAGTGTCAATAAGTTTCTGGATAAAGTTTAAACTACAAGTGCTATTAACCATTCTTCTTTCTTCGTAAGTAAAGAGACTAAAATCTAGTGATTTACGACGGATTGATGGAACAGTTCGTAGGAGTAATTTAATACAGTTGATCACATCTTGAAAATAATTTGTAGTGACAGATGTTAAACTTGTAGATTCATACGTGCGAGGCCCCAGATAAGCCCACAGGATTCTTAGGTGGTGTCTTAAAATAAGTGGAATATCAAACTCGGCGCATATCCCTGCAACAGAAACTTGATCTTCACAGTTTCGTGTTGGTGGAATAAGTGCCCCAAACCTGATAAGTAAATATAAAAGTTTGGGCTTGCTGTATAGAGCAGCTAAAGAAGCAGGGGATAGCCTTATTGGCAGAGCTAGTTCCAAATCAACCAATCGTTTGCATCCAAACAAGACCCTAGCCTCAGTAGTTTTTTCAAGAAAATATGCAATTGGTCCAGTTTCACCATAAATATTACAACTTCGATTAGGACTGTTCCACTGCCAAAGTGGCCGGACAAGCTCAGGGAAATCTAAGCTTTCTTGAAATATTACAGATAAATGACCTTCGTGGTCAAAAATTGCTTGCAATACCTCAACAACTAACCATGTGTCTTGTATATTCCACCAGTAGCAAAATTTAGCTATTAAATAAATCATGCGGTCGAAACTTTCCTTGTGAGCTCTTGCGCCGTAATTTGCTCGACATTGATAAAACAAATTCAACATTCGTCGAATTCGTAATTTACGTTCCTCTTCAAGTGGCGGTATTTGCTCACGAAGAATGGCATTTAATGTTGGAATCATTAAGCTATATAGACTTGCATCTTGTAGTCTAAGTGCATTGTTAGTTTGAACGTTTAATGATTGAGCTATTTGTACCTGATCAGGATTTTCATCGTCTGAATTTTGTTGTCGACTATTATTTATACCCATTAGTTCTACTTTTTTTCCAGGCCATTCCGTAATGAAATTAATTCATTTTTAACTTTTAATGGTTATGAATAAATAAAGAATTTAGTAATAACAGAAAAACTTTCGGTATATTCAATTTTAAAATAATGCTCTTGTGGTATTTGATTTATTTTGCAAGTTACCTTGACGATACTTTTTTATTGTTATGTAAGTTTTTCATTGTTAAAGTGATCACAGAAAATTGACGAACACAGGAATACAGATACGAATTGTTTATATACGGTCACGTGTGTCGATTGTAGTTATGGTATACCTTTGGCATGTTTATCAAACTCTTTTCCTAAGTTTTTTTTTTAAGTATCGCTCATGTCACCAAGAAAGTTTTCTGCTATTATTACACCCTTAAACAAGTATATAACAAATTACATAATGTAGTTTCTCACGCTGTACGAATAGTGATACTGAAATTACAATCAGAGTAGAGTTAGCTTCTTTTTTTTCCCCTCTTACCTGTTAAAGAATATAAATTTCTATTTTTGTCTTCTTAGTACATTGTTGCTATTCAACTCGTTCCTTTTTTTCCCTATAGTTGTCTTGAGACTTCTATGACGACATTACTTCAAGCTACATAGGTTATTATAAATAAATCAGAATTTTCAGTTAATTCTTTAAAATGAGTAATATATATATCAATACATATGTTTTCGTCATCTTATGATTAGTATGCTAAGCAGTAAAATCACGGCACGATGTCCCCCAGTGGCACAGCGATA